GAAAGCTGTTAAAATAATCTGTGTAGCTATCTATTCATCTGTCTATCATCTTTCTATAACCATCCATCCATCCGTCCATTTATCCATCCATCGTTCATCTATTTAATGCACCTATCTAGCTAGCTAGCTATTTATCATCTATCCATCCATCTATTGAATCTATCATCTACCCTTATCTATCATACACCTATCTATCCATCTACCCATGTATTGAAGCTAATCATCTAGCATTACCTATGTGTCCATCGTGTATCTATCTATCCATCCATCCATCCATCTACAGAATCTATCATCTATCATTATTTATATATTTATCTATGTATCTATCTATCCATCTACCAATTAACTCTATGTATCATCTGTCATTATCTATCTGACTGTTTAATCTATTTAAGCTCTCTGTCATCTATTATAACATATTTTTATCCGTCTCTTCTATTTATTCTCATCTCTTTATTATCATATGTTATATGTATGTTGATATACACAGAGAAAGATTGATAGATAGAGATTTGTAAAATGTACAAATATTTAAAATGAAACACTTTTTTTGGAAAACGGGTGCATGGTAAACAAGGACATTCACTGACTGACCTGATCCACCTCTTACCCACCCTTCAAATCTAATCACTCCTAGCGGGTGTTTCCGGGAACAGCTTCCCTCCCTGTCTCTGTCTCTTCACCCCAACTCCACTTCCTGCCTGCCTACTGGCCAGCCCAGCTTCCCTGAGGCCCCTCCCTGTCCCCTGCACCATGGGTCCCATCACACACCATGTCCATGCTTGTCGTTTACTTGTCCACTCTCCCACAAGTCACATCGCGAACACCCGGAGGGGCAGGGGTCTTCCTCTCTGGTTTTCCTCCATACCTGGTGCGATGCTGGTAAATGGTAACACCGAATAAATGTTTGAGTAAATGAATAGACGACTTAGTTCCCTCTACAGGTGCCAATGAAGGAACGATAAATGAAAGTGATGATTTTTAACTCCTAAGATCCAATAAGTCAGGAGTAGGGGTTTTTCTTTATTTCCAGCTCCAGAAAACTAATACAATAGAAGTTCCTCAGCCAGTCTGCCTCAACGCTCCTCCCAAGGCATCTGGTTTTATTTCAGGGCAAAGGAAGTTAAGTGTTTCATTACAATGCTTCTTCCACACACACACACACATATGCATTTAATGGAGGTGGGGAGCTTTGGGGGAATTTTTACTACTATTTGCTAATTTTTTATTGACTTATACAGAAAGAACTGTAAACTTAATTTTCATTTCCTCAATCTGCTCAATTCCTTCCTTCTGATTGCGATGAAATTTTTCTGGAAAATCGTCACCCAATTTAAATCATACTTTTTAAGTATTTCCCTGTGCCAGGGTGAAAGAAAGTTTAAAATGATCCTTGAGATTATTTGTATATTTTTGAAATGTTTCAACGAGGTTAAATATAATTGAAAGAAAAAGCAAAGCATCATATAAAATTAAAGAAAAAAAATAAGCATTCGTGCAAGGCCAGGGAGTCAAAATGTGATTTTCTTCTAAAGGAAAGAAGGTTCAGAGAGTTCTTTTTTCCAAGTTGAGAAACCATTCGAAATTCATGAGTTTGCTGTTTTGATCATCATTTAAATCTCTTCCAGATTCCTACCCTTAGGAAAAAAAATATATAGCTTCATGCTTTAAAAGAAGAAAGATCAAAATAGTGTATTAAGTAGTCTCAGAATACTTCTTGTATATATAAAAAATATTCAGTGAGTTAATATAAAATAAATCAAAAACAGACAGACTGAATCTTCCTTAGATTATGTAAGCTTTTAAATTCTAGGAGAATGAAGGATGCAAGCTAAAAGATTAGTGAAAGAAAATCAACTACTCCCAAAGAAAAATGTTTAAAAATATCAATTATAGTTCATATTGGCCCTTTCTAACAAAAGTCAAAATGTGGTATGCAAACACATAATGTAATGCCTTCCTTCTTCACACAAGTCTTGACTATGCACATGGTTAGTGCTTTGTTTGAAAATCCAGTGAGACTGTAATATCTGAGAAACCAGCATAGATTATGTAGCAAAGGCATTTTATTGTATCAAATTCAAGTGGTCAGAGGCACTTGAATCAGAGCAACTCCATCTTGAATAGGGGCTGGGTAAAATCAGGCTGAGACCTACTGGGCTACATTCCCAGAAGGTGAGGCAATTCTAAATCACAGGATGAGATACAAGGCCAGAACAAGATACAAGTCATAAAGACCTTGCTAATAAAACAGCACGCAGTAAAGAAGCACGGGAGGGGAAGAGTAACAGAAGTTGAACGAAGTAAACTTGAACAGTAAAGCTGAACAGTAAAACTCACCAAAACAGAGATGGTGACAAGAGTGACCTCTTGTTGTCCTCACTGCTCATTATACGCTCATTGTAATACATTAACCTGCTGAAAGGCACTCTCACCAGCGACATGACAGTTTACAGAGGCCACGACAATGTCAGGAAGTTACCCTACATGGTCTAAAAGGGAAGGAATCCTGAGTTCCCAGAATTGCCCATCCCTTTCCCAGAAAACTTGTGAATAATCCACCCCTTGTTCAGCATAAAATCAAGAAATAACCATAAAAGTCAGCAACCAGTAGCCCTTGGGGCTGCTCTGCTGTAGAGTAGCCATTCTTTTATTGCTTTACTTTTGTAATAAACTTGCTTTCACTTTACTCAATGGATTCAGCTCCAATTCTTTCCTGCATGAGATCCAAGAACCCTCTCTTGGGGTCTGAATCGGGACCCCCTTCCCGGTAACACAGTTACAAACAAAGAAATCCTGTCTAAAACAGATAGGGTCATGCACCACCACAGAACAATGTACTGCTGGTCATAGGAGCATGCTTATGGCTCTCAAGTTTAATGCCCTTGCTTCTTCAAATGGTAAAAGGCTCTATTGCCACCCTGGTCCAGGAGAAAATCTCGGCACAGGTTTCTTACATAAATCACTACCCATTGGTCTCACAAGAAGACCCTGACAGTAAGAATAAAAGTAAGAACGCCCACTAAAAAGGCAAATATTAGTGAGGTTCTCAAAGGGGAAATGAGAGAGGAGACCATCTGTCTCCCTTGCCTGTCTTCTGTTAGAACAGGCGGGAGGGGAGATAAAATAGCACAAAGTTGAAGTCAGCAGTCAGGCGAGACACTGAGCCACCGGCCTGACCACAGCGGGGCTCAAAAATTGAGAAAATGACAGCCCCCTACCCCCGTAACTGGTGCCTATGTTGTCTGCCAGCCTTGAAAATGGCTTTTGTTACTGCCCAAGGACCTTCCCTGAGTCACGTACTCCCCGACTACACCAACCAAACCACCCCACTTAGAGACGCCTCTGTCACTAAGTGATTTACTCCTTCGTTCAACTTCTGTTACTCTTCCCCTCCCGTGCGCCACATGTAAATTAGCAAATCAGTGAAAGCCAGAGACAGTAAGGTCAGACGTCTAGCCAATGGGCGATAACAGTTTTACCTCTGCTCCCCCTTGGGTTGTATGTCTTTAAAAAGGGAAAGAAACTGCTTTTTGAGGAGCTCGACTTTTTTTTTTTGGACACGAGTCAACCATTGCTCCACAGCGGGCTGAATAAAGCCTCTTCCTTCCTCACTCCACCGTCTAAGGGGTTCTGCCAGCGCTTTTCCTGCAACATTTCTGGACCAATGATGGATGGCGTATAAAACAATGGTCCCACAAGATTATAATGGAGCTGAAAAATGTCTATTGCCTAGTGATTTGTGTTACAATTCCCTACTGTGTTCAGTACAGGAACACGCTGTACAGCTTTGCAGCACAGAAGCAAAAGACGACATCATATAGCCTATGTATGTGGTAGGCTAGCCCATCTAGGTTTGTGTAAGTGCACCCTAGGATGTTTGCAGGACAACAAAATCACCCAGTGACCCATTGCTCAGAATGTAGCCCATCATTAAGCAATGAGTGACTGTAAGTCTATTTCACTGTGTGTAATTTCCCCTACTGTAAGGGAACTCCCCTCAGAAAGCCAAGCTCGCCCTCGTCCAGCCCCACAGTGTAGCAGTTTAGGAGGAGTATGCTTCCCCGAGGAAGCACTTTAGCTAAAACCGGCCACACTTGCTCACTGGATTTCTACTACCTTCAAATCACTTTTAGCCTCACAGAATCCATAGTGAGCTTCTATTCCACATGGCAATTAATTATAAATATAGGAGTGGGAATGTCCACATCTCCATGAGGTAATCTATTTGTTAGTTAAGGACCCATATCCATTAACTATCTCTGTATAACAAATGCTCCCAACACTTAGTGCTGAAGACAAACACCATTTTACTAGTGCATCATTCTCTGGGTCAAAAATTCCAGGCTGAGCTCAGCTGGATGGTTCTGTGGCTCTTCCTGAAGGTCCCTTTTGTGGTCCCAGCCCACTGTCAGTTTGACTGAAGATGGATGGTGTAAGCTGGGAGCCTAGTCACCTATCTGTCAGCTGAATCTTTCTCATTGTGGCTCATCTCAAAAAGGCTACCCTGGCTTCTTTATAGGGGGTGGCCTCAGTACTCGAGGCTGACAGACAAGACCACCCAACAGACGTGTTCATGAATATACTTAGACCACCCAGTCTCATCAAGCTGCCAGATAATGGAAGCTGCATGAAAGACCCTAGGCAAGACCAACAGAAGAACTGCCCAACTGAACCCAGTCTAAGATATTTATTCACAGACATATGAGCAAATACAGGGTTTGTGATATTGTGGCACTAAACTTACTGTTGATTTTATATATTAAAAAAATAGGTAATAGATCCCAAAAGTCATACCTGAAGTGGGTGGGGATTTGCTATCATACAAAAGCTTAAAACATACTTAATTGGCCTTGAAACTGAGTGGTGAATGAAGGTTGAGAAGATAGTAAGGTAATTGCTACTGAAGGCTAGAAAAAAAAATGACAGCCAGTGGTATTTTGTGTTGGAAGAGCAAAACTGTAGCCTGCAGTGACTTGGAAAATAAAAATGTACCTAATGTGCTTTCTTTGGTAGCACATATACTGAAATCGGAATGATACAGATAAGATTAGCAAGGCCCCATGCAAAGATGACAGGTAAATTCATGAAGCATTTAATTAAAAAAAAAAAAAGTAAAATAAAGTCAAAAAAGAAAAGAAAAGAAATATACCTAATAAACTCAGACTTAGAGGAAGTATGTTTTGTTGTCGTTGAACATTTGCAGTTTTGACCTTTGGGGCCAGAAAATTATTTGTCATGGATGCTGCCATGTCCATTGCAGGATTCTCAGCATCATTCTGTGCTTCTAATTGGTAAATCTCAGAAGCACCCATTGAGTACAGCCTGAATTTTTGTTCCATAGAACGGTGAGTATATAACATGGTTTTTTTTTAACCCACTGTATTTTGGGATTGCTTGTTATGTGGCAATAGCTGACTGACACGGCCCCTTATATTATAACAGAAACGGAGAATTTCATGCAGCTTCCTTTTCCTGCTTCAATGGTTCATTCTGTAAATATTTTCAGTGCATTTCCTGAGCCAAATAATATCTGAATTTGGGGATAAATATGTATGAAGTGATAGACCCCAACCTGCTGAGGCTCCTTTGGAAGCACCAAGGTTAGAAAAGCATTTTAGCCAGTAAGAAGTTTTCTTCTGGGGAAGGGAGGAGGGGCAGGGACTTCTAGGCAGATTATGCAATATTCCTTCATTTGCCATTTATGCAACAACTAATTGTTGAGCTGCTAGTATATGCCAAGTTCTGGAGATGGGGAAGAGGATAAGACAGAGAAGAGTCATGCTTTCATGGTGGTTACAAGAAGTCAACAAGAAGATGATAACATAATTTTATATCCCTGTAAAATGAAATACACAGCTGGGTGTGGAAGCACATGACTGTATTCCCAGCTACTCAGGGAGACTGAGACTGGAGGATTACTTGAGCCTGGGAAGTTGAGGCTGCAATGAGCTATGATTGTGCCACTGCACTCCATCCTGGACAATTATGGAGTCTGAAAGTTGATCGGCTATCTACAACTGGAGACCCAGGAGAGCCAGTGATGGAGATTCCAGCATAGATTTCAGTCGGAGTCTGAAGGTCTGAGAACCAGGAGAGCTGAGGAAGAGATCAGTGTCTCAGGTAAAGCGCTCAGCTGGTTAATTCAACTTCCCATCACCTTTTTGGTCTAGTGAGGCCCTCAACAAATTGAATACCTATCCATATTAGGGGCAATAATCTGCCTTAATTAATCCATCAATTCAGATGCTAATATCCCTTCTAAAAACACTTTCACAGACACACCCAGAAACAATGTTTAACCAAATATCTGGGCATCCTGTGGCTCAGTCAAATTGACCTATAAAATGAACTATTATGGTGTCCTTATAGGGGGCACAACAGAGCACACTCTATCTCTCTCTCTCTCTCTCTCTCTCTCTCTGTCTTCCTCTCTCTCTCTTTCTCCTATCACAGAGACTGAGAAAAAGCTATGTGAGGACACAGGAAAAAGGCAGGCATCAGGAAGCAAGTCCTCACCAGACACTAAATCTGCCATGCTATGGTCCTGAACTTCCAGCCTCCAGACTGTGAGCAATAAATGCCTGCTGTTGATAAGCTACTCAGTCTATGACATATTGTTATGGCAGCTGATATGGTTTGGCTGGGTCCCCACCCAAATCTCACCTGGAATTATAATAATCCCCACATGTCAAGGGCAGGGCCAGGTGGAGATAATTGAATCATGGGGGTGGTGTCCTCCACGCTGTTCTTGTGGTAGTGAATAAGTCTCATGAGATCTGATGGTTTTCTAAATGGGAGTTCCCCTGCACAAGCCCTCTTGTCTGCCACCACGTAAGACATCCTTTCATCTTCCGCCATGATCGTGAGGCCTCCCCAGCCATGTGAGACTGTGAGTCCATTAACCTCTTTGCTCTATAAATTACCCAGTCTCAAGATGGTCTTTATTAGCAGCATGAGAACGGAGTAACACAGCAGCCCAAGCTGACAAATACACCATACCCAACCTCCCATCCCATCCTCTCCAAAAGAATTTATTCCTTCATTTCTTTTAATCTACTATTTCATGGGTTGCTTTGATGTAGATGCACTTTTGCTATATAGATTTCTATGCTTATAGCATGTATAGACACAGGTATCTATATACGTATGAGTACGTATCATACTATGAATGTGTGTGTTTATATGTGTATGTTACAAAAGTTGTCATCTTAGCTATGTCATTTTTCTTTTAGGGACAGGACCATATACTTAAAATACCTTAACGTACTCTTAGAAATACCATGATGTACCTTTAGAAATCTAGAACATTTGAAGTTCGAATAAACTAAGTCAGAAGTGCCGAAGATTTTATGGAGAAATCCTGTGAAGAAAAGTCAAATTTGAGTAAAACTGCAACATTTTCATTTAATCATTTTTTTATTTTTAAAACATATTTAAGGAGTACAAGTGCAGGTTTCTAACAAGCATAGATTGCGTAGTGGTGAAGTCTGGGCTTTCAGTGTAGTCATCACTCAAGTAATGTGCACAGAACACATTAAGTAATTTCCCATCTCTCACCCCTCTCTGACCCTTCTGAGTCTCCAGTGTCTATTATCCCACTCTCTACGCCCATGTGTACACATTATTTAGCTCTTACTTACAAGTCACAACATGTAGTATTGATTTTTCATTTCCAAATTATTTCCCTTAAGATAATGGCCTCCAGTACCATCCATGTTGCTACACAAGACTTGACTTCATTCTTTTTTTATGGCTGCATAGCAGTCCATGGTATCTATATTTTCTTTTATTTTTTTTCCATTTATTTATTTTATTGCATTTTAGGTTTTGGGGTACATGTGAAGAACATGCAAGATTGTTGCATAGGTACACACGTGGCAGTGCGATTTGCTGCATTCCTCCCCATCACCTACATCTGGCATTTCTCCCCTTGCTATCTCTCCCCAACTCCCCACCCCCCACCGTCCCTCCCCTATTTCTCCCCAACTGACCCCAGTGTGTAGTGCTCCCCTCCCTGTGTCCATGCGTTCTCATTGTTCAACACCCGCCTCTGAGTGAGAACATGCGGTGTTTGATCTTCTGCTCTTCTGTCAGTTTCCTGAGAATGATGGTTTCCAGGTTCATCCATGTCCCTACAAAGGACACAAACTCATCATTTTTGATGGCTACATAGTATTCCATGGTGTATATGTGCCACCTTTTCCCTGTCCAGTCTATCATCGATGGGCATGTGCGTTGGTTCCAGGTCTTTGCTATTGTAAACAGTGCTGCAATGAACATTCGTGTGCACGTGTCCTTGTAGTAAAACGATTTATAATTCTTTGGATATATACCCAGTAATGGGATTGCTGGGTCAAATGGAATTTCTATTTCTGGTTCTTGAGGAATCACCACACTGTCTTCCACAATGGTTGAACTAATTTACACTCCCACCAACAGTGTAAAAGTGTTCCTATTTCTCCACATCCTCTCCAGCATCTGTTGTCTCCAGATTTTTTAATGATTGCCGTTCTAACTGGCGTGAGATGGTATCTCAATGTGGTTTTGATTTGTATTTCTCTGATGACCAGTGATGACGACCATTTTTTCATACACTTATTGGCCTCATGTATGTCTTCTTTTGTAAAGTATCTGTTCATATCCTTTGCCCACTTTTGAATGGGCTTTTTTTTTTTCTTGTAAACCTGTTTTAGCTCTTTGTAAATTCTGGATATCAGCCCTTTGTCAGATGGGTAAACTGGAAAATTTTTTTCCCATTCTGTTGGTTGCCGATTCACTCTAATGACTGTTTCTTTTGCTGTGCAGAAGCTATGGAGTTTGATTAGGTCCCATTTGTCTATTTTGGCTTTTGCTGTCAATGCTTTTGGTGTTTTGGTCATCAAGTCCTTGCCTATGCCTATGTCCTGAATGGTCTTGCCTAGATTTTCTTCTAGGGTTTTTATGGTGTTAGGTCTTACGTTTAAGCCTTTAATCCATCTGGAGTTAATTTTAGTGTAAGGTGTCAGGAAGGGGTCCAGTTTCTGCTTTCTGCACATGGCTAGCCAGCTTTCCCAACACCATTTATTGAACAGGGAATCCTTTCCCCATTGCTTGTTTTTGTCTGGTTTGTCAAAGATCAGATGGTTGTAGATATGTTGTGTTGCCTCTGAGACCTCTGTTCTGTTCCATTGGTCTATATCTCTGTTTTGGTACCAGTACCATGCTGTTTTGATTACTGTAGCCTTGTAGTATAGTTTGAAGTCTGGTAGTGTGATGCCTCCCGCTTTGTTCTTTTTGCTTAGAATTGACTTGGCTATGCGGGCTCTCTTTTGGTTCCATATGAAGTTTAAAGTGGTTTTTTCCAGTTCTGTGAAGAAGGTCATTGGTAGCTTGATGGGGATAGTGTTGAATCTGTAAATTACTTTGGGCAGTATGGCCATTTTCACGATATTGATTCTTCCTAACCATGAACATGGAATGTTTCTCCATCTGTTTGTGTCCTCTCTTATTTCATTGAGCAGTGGCTTGTAGTTCTCCTTGAAGAGGTCCTTTACATTCCTAGTTAGTTGTATTCCTAGGTATTTTATTCTCTTTGTGGCGATTGTGAATGGCAGTTCATTCTTGAGTTGGCTCTCTTTAAGTCTGTTATTGGTGTATAGGAATGCTTGTGATTTTTGCACATTGATTTTGTATCCTGAGACTTTGCTGAAGTTGCTTATCAGTTTCAGGAGATTTGGGGCTGAGACGATGGGGTCTTCTAGATATACAATCATGTCGTCTGCAAATACAGACAATTTGACTTCCTAGTTTCCTAATTGAATACATTTTATTTCTTTTTCTTGCCCGATTGCTCTGGCTAGAACTTCTAATACTATATTGAATAGGAGTGGTGAGAGAGGGCATCCTTGTCTAGTGCCAGATTTCAAAGGGAATGCTTCCAGTTTTTGCCCATTCAGTATGATATTGGCTGTTGGTTTGTCATAAATAGCTTTATTATTTTGAGATATGTTCCATCAATACCTAGTTTATTGAGGGTTTTTAGCATAAAGGGCTGTTGAATTTTGTCAAAGGCCTTCTCTGCATCAATTGAGATAATCATGTGGTTTTTGTCTTTGGTTCTGTTT